CACTCCATGCGTCCACGCCTCCAGGGCAAGGCCAAGTGAAGCCACAGGCACAGCACACCCTGACATGGCCAGAACCCAGAGCCCCGAGATGAGACGCTGCGCGCGCGCCGGAGCCAAGCACCAAAGGAGGCAGATGTGGGCGGCAGAGGCCCACACCCCAGGACAGCTTCGGTTTCTTACAAACAAGTGGTGTTTTTATTACAGCCCCGAGGTGTACTCCTTGGTACTGACCCAAAGGAATGACAATGGAACTCAAAGATCCCTGCATGGGTGTCCACAGAGGCTTTCTCAATCACTGCCAAAGCCTGCAATTTCAGATGTGATAGAACCATGCTAAGCTCCAATTCAGGAGAAAACCAAACCCCAGGAGAGGTAAACAGCAGCCGCTGGGCTTGAACTTGAAGGGCAGTTTCCAGGGATCCCTCAGCTGGGGGCTGCGTCTGTCACCCACTCCACCCCGAAGTGGCACCCTGCAGTGAGTGACAGGGGATCACTGATACGTTTACTCCCCAAGAAGCTTCTGTGTGGATTCCTCAGTGCGCGCAGCCCACTACCAAGAGGGATTCTCATGTCTGTGGGTAACATAATTAAAAAATAAATCAGGGCTCCCGATACACCACGAGGACATCACCTCTCTCACGGTGTGGGGAGGACGGCTGCTGCGGCCACATCCTGCTGGCCTTCATGTGGCCCTTCCCCAGGGGTCCGCAAACCCACCCGCCGTGTGGACCTAAGGTGCAGCTCATACTGAAGAGTTCACAGGCAAACAAATGGTGACCATCTCTGGAGACTCCGAGCCACACACCGTGCCCTCAAGTCACAGCTGGAAGCAGACTGTGCCTTAATCACGTGGTCCTCTCTATTGTTAGCAGCAACCACCTGCAACACGCCTGCCCACTACATGTGACCCTGGATGAAATTCCAATGTTCCATGAGCTATGCCACAGTATCAACCCATTTCTAAAAGTAACTTTTTAGGTACATGTGGTGGTGCATGCCTGTAATTCCAGCACTGTGGAAGGCTGAGGCAGGAGGTTTGCAAATTGGAGCCCAGCCTGGGCAATTTAATGAGATTCTGTCTCCAAAAAAAAACAAGAAAAAAAGGAAAAAGTAAGTGAAAACAGAAGGAAAAAATGGAAACAAAGCTTTTGTACATAGGGAGGGGAGGGAGCTTGAGGCAGGGAATGGGATAAAATAAAATTTAATAAAAAAAAGAGGTGGGAATATAGCTCAGTATGAAGGCCCTGGATGCAATCCCTAGTACTAAAAAAACCAAAACAAAAGCAACTTAATGCTCTTTAAAATAAGAGTCTGATTTTTGGAGCACAGAACTTTGAGAATCTGATGAAAATCCTTCATCTTAACTAGTTTAAGATCCAATTTTAAAGGCTAGAATATCTGGTAGTAAAAGCACCACACAGCTTATGAATCGTAAAAAATAAAAACTGACTCAATATAGAAAGCAACCCCTCAGTCTCTAACGTACAAGCTGTCAGCATCACGCAGGAGACGCTGTTACATGAGCTCTGTCCAGGAAAT